TTTAATGCTTAGGGTTTCAGGATTGCCGTTTTCTCTGTCTGGCTTAGTTTTTCAGATCTTTGCTGTGGAGGGATGATGTAGTGCTTCTGCCTGTAGCACCATGTTGCCCGTAAGTCCCCCGTAAGTCTTCTCAAATCTATTTAAATCATGTTTTTAAAACTCATTTTTAAAGACTGGAGTTAATCCTTTTCTTCTAGCTGAAGAAGCGTTTTTTATTCTTATGAAACTTTAATACCTACACTTCACAATTCAGATTTTTAAAATAAAAATAATTAACACTTTTATTTTTTGCATTTATATGAAAATATATATGGACATTAATAGAAATTGATCTGTTACCAAAAACCTCCAATTCGATTAATTATCAATACAAATGTTAGAGATTATAACTACTAACATTATGCTATCTTGACACATAGTTCTTTTTATTTTTAATGCATGATTAAGATCATATTGCATTTATATTTTCTAGTTTTTAATTTTTTTTACTTACTATTGTGTATTTTTACCCATCACTAACAATACACTAAAGTATTTAACAATGAAAAGGATGAATCTTTGAGGAAATCTTTCTGAATGTAATAATAAAAAAAAGAAGCAAAGATGAAATAGAGGAGAAATAAAAAGAAAACTAGAGGACTGATCCAGGAGGTCCAAAATATAATTAATAGTAGTTTTAGAATGAGAAGATGGAGGGAAGAAAAGTTTCAAAGAAATAGACAAGAAAATTTCCTAGAACTGAAGGAAACAGATGTTCAGATTGAAACAGCCCACCAAGCACCAAGCACAATGAATAAATAAAGAACCACATATAATGGTGCCAAAGAGATGATCCTCAAAGAGTCTAGGGAGAAAATAAAGGTCATGCACAAAGGATCAAGAATAAGAATTGCACTGACCTTTTCCATAGCAATACTAAAAGAAGGTCATGGAGGTAATGCTTTCAAATTTTGACAGAAAACAGTTTCCAAAGTAAAGTTATATATCCAAACTCTTTATCAAAAGTGAGAATAAAAACATTTTTCAAAAAAGCAAGGTCTCAAAATACTTACTTCCCATGCACTGTTTTTCAGAAAGCTCTTCAAGAACAGGCTCCACCAAAATGAGAAGATGCCCAAGAAAAAGGAAAATGTAAGATGCAGAAAATAGGGGCCAATATAGAACAGGCAAAGGAGCTCAGGATGATGGTGAAGGAGACCCCAGAATGGAAGCTGGCAGCCAGCCTGCCAACCTGTCAGTCCAGACTACTGTCAGGTGCTGAGAGACCACCTGAGGGGTCTGAGCCAGTGGAAAATCATACTGAGAAGCCATGGAAAGTAGGATGTCTTAAATACACAGAAAGATAAACAGATGAAAAAAGAAGTATTATTAACACCAGAAAAAAAATTTTATAAGAAAAGAGACATAGCTATAGTTTATTATTCAGTTCATCAATGAAAAATATTGATAGAGTCACAATAATATAATCTGTGAAATTAATTTAGCCAAAAATTGTGATGTAGCTATTCTGTCTGGCAGAATAGGGAAAAGTCAAGGAGAGCCACGGGGGAGGGGTGCGGGATGGAGAGTTAAATCTGATACTCCATGACTGTCATGAATTGCATTGTGCCCCCCAAAATGTCTGTCAACTTTGCTAGGCCATAATTCCCAGTATTGCTTGATTGTCCACCATTCTGTCATCTGATGTGATTTTCCTATGTGTTGTAAATCCTATCTCTATGAGGTTGATGAGGTGGGATTAGCGGCAGTTGTGTTAATGAATTAGAACTCAATCTACAACATTAGGTTGTTTCTTACGCCAATCTCTTTTGAGATACAAAAGAAAGACAAGGGGACCTCATACCACCAAGAAACAAGAGCCCGGAGAATAGCACATTCTTTGGACCTGGGGTCCCTACACTGAGAAGCTCCTCAACCAGGGAAGACTGATGACAAAGACGTTCCCCCAGAGCTGACAGAGAGAGAAGGCCTTCCCTTGGAGCTGGTGCCTGAATTTGGACTTCTAGCCTCTACACTATGAAAGAATAAATTTCTTTGTTAAAGCCACCCGCTTGTGGTATTTCTGTTATAGCAGCACGAGATAACTAAAAGAATGATAGAAGTCTGTATAAATGCCAAGCAATGGCACATATTCCTGTTCCTTAGAAAAATGAAGGTAAACTCCAAAGGAAACAACTTAAAGGGTTAAAAGTTGTTCCCTCTGGGGAGGGGACTGGGTGGCAGGGGCTGGTTAGAAGACTGGTATTTTTCTCTAAGCCTTTCAGTACTGACTTATTTTTTTAACTATATACATGTATTTACTCTTGTAAAAATTAAAAAGCAACCTGTAGCATAGTATAAGTATAAAATAATCAACATGTTTCATTTAAGTGTCATAACAGACTTCACAGCAAAGTTAAGCAACGTATGTACTAGGAGTAAATACAAAACACTCAAAAAAGCCAAACACTACCTCTTTGGAACAAGGAATACTGCTGTGATCTTTTTCCATTATCAGCCATCTGAGAACATTTGGAATAGAGAGATTTTTCCATGTTGGCCAAGGGTTAACAAATCTCCCATCTTTTCCTCTCTTTGATTTAGTTACATCTTCCTCTAATCTGTAATCCAGTTTGAAGCTTTTCCTGGAAAATCCAGAAGAATCACTTTCTCTACAATTCCGTGCTGAATTTTGGCGTTTTCTTACTACTTCTTTAGGATATTGGCTACTCGTCATCAGGAACTGATTGCTTTCAGTTTCATCCATGTCCTTTGGTGAAGAACTAAAAAAGGAAGGGAGAAAAATACTGAATTTAACATAAAGGCTTTAAAGCATATTATTGCTGTTGTTGTTAGCTACCATCAAGTCAATTTCAACTCACAGCAACCCCATGTGACAGAGTAGAACTGCCCCATAGGGTTTCTAAAGCTGTAATCTTTAGGGAAGCAGATTGCCAACTTCTTTATCTTGCGGAGCAGCTGGTGGGTTCAAACTGCCAGCCTTTTGGTTAGCAGCCAAGTGCTTAACCACTGTGCCACCAGGGCTCCTTAAATCCAGTATTACTACTTGCTAAATAGAAAATATATTTGTTTTACTTGTTAGCATTACTGCCAAACCATTCAAAATCCCTTATCTGCCACAGTCTAAAACCACGTATTTGCCCAGCCAGTATTTAAACATATGAAATTTTGAATTTCAATGACATCTTATAGAATAAATTAAACCACCTTTATGAATCTATTATATGCTGATACTTGAATTGTTTAAATAATGTTGTTAATAACACATAGTAAGATGGATTGCCTTATTTCCTCAAGAACACCTCAAGAATTCAAATGATTTACATATAACCCCACTAGGCCGAGTCATTTTTACATTGAAGATAATCTGTTACCAATGTCCCTAAAAAGTGTAATGAGTCCAAATCCCAGGAAAGAAGATATCAACACATTAATTGAGAGGCATTTCAGTAATGTATTCAACTGGTTAACAATATAAATTTGAATAAATTTAGATTTAGGACTGCCAACTCAGTACAGTATGTATCCTAGCTATGTGACCTTGGGTAAGTTTCTTAACTTCTCTGAGCCTTGATTTCCTCATCTATAAAATAGAGATAATAATCTTATCTGTCTTCAAGGTTTATTTAAAAGAATTTAAAAAGCTAATATAAGTGAAGCACTTAGAAGTATGGTAACATACACATATGCACATGATAACAGCTCAGTAACTGTTAGCTGTGGCTGCTGACTTGTTACTACTGCTGCTACTTCTACCATCACCACCACTACTTAAATCACTAAAATTCTTAATTTCAGAACTATACAGGACTCCAGACATAAAACGATAAACGACGTGTCAAGAATATGCATTTACCTGCCATAAATTTCATTTCTTTCCTACTCTGTTAAGCAAACACTTGCTTTCTGTGTAATGAGTTTAAATAGAATGCATACACATAACACACTTCATAACCCTAAGAAAACAGACATAGTAATGGAAAGCCAAATATTATTTTTATAGCTACCTATGATGTTTAAATAGAAACACTGTCCAGGAGAGAGACAGAAAGAACAAAAACCCCAGGATGAATGTATATACTGAGCCAAATCTTTTTTTCCAAATTGTCTGTACGCTAAATAGTCTATGGTCTGGAGAATAATCACTCTTAAGAATTCACAGCTGACAAAAGCTAAAGTACACAGTATTGTTCAGCCATCCACTGTTTGTGGGAAAGTCTAAATAGTTAAGAGAAAGAGTCGAAGGATCTTTATATCTTGGGCAAATAACTTAATCTTCTAATCCTCGATCTTCTCATCTGTAAAAGAGCTATCTAGTACGGTTTGAAAGGATTAAATGAGCTAATGTGCATTAAGTGCTTGGCACTTACCAAGTGTTAATTCCTTTTTCCCTAGTCCTGTTAACTGGCCATACATCTAAATTCTTTAAGATCTATTAAAAAGCAAAAGATCTGGGTGATTAGTGCAAAGGACTAATGGACCACATGAACTATAGCCTCCACCATCCTGAGCCCAGAAGAACTAGATGGTGACTGGCTACCACCACCAACGGCTCTGACAGGGATCACAGTAGAGGGTCCCAGACAGAGCAGGAGAAAAATGTAGAACAAAATTCAAATTCACAAAAAAAGACCAGACTTACTGATCTGACAGAAACTGGAGGAACCCCCGAGATTACGGCTCCCGGACACCCTGCAAACTCAGAACTGAAGCCACTCCCGAAGTCCACCTTTCAGCCAAAGATTAGACAGGCCTATAAAACAAACAATAACACACACATGAGAAACGTGCTTCTTAGTTCAATCAAGTATACGAGACCAAATGGGCAACACCTGCCCAAAAGCAAAGATGAGAAGGCAGGAAGGGACAGGAAAACTACACAAATGAACACAGGGAACCCGGGGTGTAAAGCGAAAGAGGGAGAATGCTGACACAATGTGGGGATTGCAACCAATGTCACAAAACAATCTGTGAATACATTTTTTAATGAGAAACTAATTTGTGCTGTAAACTTTCACCTAAAGCACAATAAAATTTTTAAAAATTCAAAAGAAGTAAATACACATACACAAAGATCTGCGTAAGTTATCTCAGTTCTCACAGAAATACTTTGCTTGGGTTATAATTAAGTTCAGGCTGAGGCCTTTACGAAGGGCAGAAACAAAGACCATCCCATTTAAACAGCACTTGTCAGTTTTTATAAAACTACAGCTAACACTCGAGCACTATGATCCTTAGAATCCCTTATACACAGGTGTACACAATATAGCACATCTGCTTGAGTCTGGCTCTGGAGATGAACCTAAAAATTTCTCTTGTCAGAGAATGGAAACGATGTGACCTTACTTGAGTCCTGACTTCCCAGGGCTCTGGATGTCACACCATTCAGTCCTCAGTTGTTATTGATGGGTTCATCTCAGGTGTCCACCAGCATCTACTCATTCTTCTAAATGTACTCTGTGCTATTTTATTCCTAAATATCATGTTCAGCACTGAGTTTTAATTTGTAAGTTGTTTGAAGTTCCTTTGAATTGGGTTAAGTATAAATCTTAAGTAGAACCAAGAAGGAAAAAAGGACTGAACTAATTTTTATATACAATCTGAGTACCAATTTACTACTACATCAAGCCATATCTACTAAGGCAATCCTGAGTTAATAAATATAGAAACTTTTTAACTTCTTAAAGGCTCCTACACTTCTCCATCCTTATTACTTTTCCTCACATACCACCCCACTCCACATCCCCAATTTAAAAAAAGATGTGTTGAAGAGAGAAATAATAGCATTTCTATGCTGTTGTTAGGACAAGTACACCACAAGAACAATGATCATAAAGATGATTGAAACAGGAAACTAGTTGGGGAGAGAGAGAGGAGTGACAGAAAGGTGAATTCTACATTATTGAGACCAGGAGTTTAAAACAAACCTCTAGAAAAGAGTATTAAAAGGATGTTTGACGGGAACCGGGAAACAACACAAACGTAATACAGCCCTATTTCACCTTTTTGGCTATGGTTACTAGATTGGTAGATTACAAGAATGTAATAAAAATAGCTTTCAATATACTCCAAATCCACAGCTTTCAGCATAACACTGGAGAAAGTTTTCCATGATTTCCTTGGGAATAAGTTGAAGAAATGCATACTGGACACGTGGTGGAACTTAGCTCACTTAACGTCATATAGCTAAAAGGACTTACATAATGCATTAGTTTCTCCAAGTAGGGTCAATTGGTCCATTTCCACAGATCCACCAAAATAACATAAATCAATCCCCCACCTATCCTCAAAAAACTAAATGAATTTCCATGAAAGTGTCTCTGAGAGCTGAGAGTACCTGATAAAAAATTGGTTTTGGATTTTGACTTAGTTAACACTGAGTTGCTCTTTTTGATGGTAACTGGCCAATCACGAAACAAGTATTCTTTTACTTGATTCTGTTAACAAGGTCGTATCATAGGCAGATAAAAGAATTTGTTTATTTCCACTCCTATTTGTTCATTGCAGAATGGGAAGCATCCAGTCTACTAAAACCTTGAATCAAGTTACTTAAGATGCCTTAAGGAGAATCGGAGCTAGTCAAAGTCCTAATTCCTGCCATTTAGAATCTGAATTTGACTAACCTCTCTAGTTCTTAAAAATAGTAAGATGATGAGGGTTCTGAAGAGCTCTGAACCTGTGAACACTATAATGAGATCATAGGATGGGGATCTTGAGTTCCAATCTACAGAATCAAAGGCTGGAAAGAGAAGTACGACTACAATTTTGTAAAAGTCTATGTCACTCTTAATCACAGTTAGCTAAAACGAAAAATAGCTATGGTCAAAAAATAGTTATACATAAAGCCCACTTCTTCTTTATTCACTATTCATGGATCACACTAACAATATGTAGATGTATTTCAGTGTAAAAAGAGGTACATACATAACGCTCTATTCATTCAATAAACATTTATGGAGCAAAATTCCAAGCTAGGCTCTCTGAGAGATGCAAAGGTGCCATTGGCCATGCACCTAACCTTAAGCCCACAAGGGAAAATGGACAGAAAACAAACAGAATGAATTAACTACTGTAATAAATGTATACAAATGCTGTAGTAGTCAAAGGGTATAATGTAGGAGGGATTCATGGGAAGGGGTGTTTGGGCTGAGCCTTGCAGGCTGACTACGAGCTCATGCCTGTGAGGCAGGCAAGCCAGATGCCACTGTCTTCATTTAACAGATGAACAAGCACAAATCTGGACAGTTTATGTTACTTCTCTGCAAGGTAAAATGTCTAATAGATGGCAGCGCTGACCTCATGCTGCCCCTTGTAACGAAAAATAGTTTGTGAGATACGTGTATTTGTTAGATAGACAGTCAGATATTTTCACATACATATATATACACATATATGTCTATGCAGATATATGCATATTAAATAATATATATTTATTTTTAAATATGCATAGACATATATTTTTTAAATAATTCTACCAAATATATATTTTTGGCTCATTGTTTTAAACAACAGGGGATAAGGGATAAAAGAGAAAAAGGCACTGCGATTCAAAACCACAAAAACAAAAGGCATGACTTAGAGTTTTCAGACAGCATCTGGTAATCTACTGTAGCTGGGCCATAAGGAGCAAGGAGGGCTTGTGAGGCAAGACAGTAAAGATACAGAATGGAACCAGACTGTGGGCTTGGACTACCACATTAAGGAGTCTGAGCTGTACTGTAGGAATGGGGAAAAACTGAAGGGAAAAAACTTAGGGAAGACAACTCTGGTAGGAGGATGAAACAGAGTGACTAAAAACTGGAGGCAAGGAGATGGATTGTTGTTGTTGTTGTTATTAGGTGCCGTCGATTCCAACTCATAGCGACCCCATGTGCAACAGAACAAAACTTTGCCCGATCCAGTGCCATCCTCACACTTGTTGCTATGTTTGAGCCCGCTGTTGCAGTCACTGTGTCCATCCACCTTGTTGAAGGTCTTCCTCTTTTTCGCTGACTTTACCAAGCATGATGTCCATCTCCAGGGAGTGGTCCCTCCTGATAACATATCCAAAGTACTTGAGACGAAGTCTCGCCATCCTCACTTCTAAGAAGCATTCTGGCTGTACTTCTTCCAAAACAGATTTGTTTGTTCTTTTGGCAGTCCATGGTATATTCAATATTCTTCACCAATACCATCATTCAAAGGCATCAATTCTTCTTCGGTCTTCCTTATTCATTGTCTAGCTTTCGCATGCATATGAGGCCACTGAAAGTATCAGGGCTTGGGTCAGGCACACCTTAGTCCTCAAAAGGATATCTTTGCTTTTCAACATTTTAAAGAGGTCTTTTGAAGCAGATTTGCCCAATGCAATACGTCATTTGATTTCTTGACTGCTGTTTCCATGGGCACTGATTGTGGATCCAAGCAAAATGAAATCCTTGACAACTTCAGTATTTTCTCCATTTATCATGATGCTGCTTATTGGTCCAGTTGTGATGATTTGTGTTTTCTTTACGTTGAGGTACAATACATACTGAAAGCTGTAGTCTTTGATCTTCACCAGTAAGTGCTTCAAATCTTCTTCACTTTCAGCAAGGTTGTGTTATCTGTATATCGCAGATTGTTAATGAGTCTTTCTCCAATCCTGATGCTGCGTTCTTCTTCATACAGTCTGGCTTCTTGGATTATTCACTCAGCAGTTTGAATAAGTATGGTGAAAGGATACAACCCTGATGCACACCATTCCTGGTTTTAAACCATGCAGTATTCCACTTGTTATGTTCAAATGACTGCCTCTTGGTCTATGTACAGGTTCTGCATGAGCACAATTAAGTGTTCTGGAATTCCCATTCTTCTCAATGTTATCCATGATTTGAAGGATTAAAGAGTAGGAAACAGAAGCAGCCTAGGATATCCACTAATAGTGAAGCACTAGGCTACATGTTTTACACATTTCATTGAAATTAGTGCTCCTAGCAAAACTTCAGGGTGGGTATCATAATCCCATCTTCTAATTAAAGCACAAAGAGGTTGATACGTCAAAAGATGAGGCAGTAAGAGTGGAAAGAAAAAGAAGAGAGAGAACAGAATAGACCCAAGAGACAATAAAGATGAATCAATAAGACTTGAGAGTATCTGAATGGCCCCAAACTTTAGACAATTTATATGGGAGGTGGAGGGGGGGAATATAAAGAAGTGGGAGGAGTCAGAGATGACAGTATTACTAACCAAGTAAAGGAATTAGTGCAAAACGAGTATTTGGAGTGTGGGAGAGAGGATGGATTTCTGATCCAGGGAGTTTGAGGCCAAGTTTGAGATCACAGGAAAGCAATAATCTGAGAGGAAGTACTCACTGACTCCACACCCAATGGAGACGAAGACCCTGGAATCCAAGTTGCTTTGGGAGTGATTAACAGTGAGAGTGAGAGAACAGAGAGGTTTCCAAGGACCTGGAAAGTAAAAGAAGAGTGAAATATGCATTCAGGGATCTGTGTTCACTGGATAACAAACTTTTTCTCTAAGTTATCTATTCAGACTGTCTCCATTTCCTAACCTCCTGTCTACTCAGGCTTGCATCCCATCAATCCACAGAAACAGGTCTCACTACCAAATAGCTGTTAGCTGTCTTCTGTTAACACTATCCTCCCTCCACACCAACCTACACAAAATCCAGTCTCCAAAAGTGATCCTTTTAAAGGCAAATCTGACAAAACAAACAAAAAACCTTTGAAGGGTTCCCCCTTGCTCTCAGAATGTGGGCAAAGGTCATTATGATGGTCCATGAGGGATGTTTGTGTGTGTCCAGCCCTGCCCACACACTCCACTGCTCCCTGAGCCCAAAACATGCCACCTTACTCCATTTCCTCAGATGCAAAGTGCTCCCACCTCAGGGCCACTGACTGTCACTGCAGGGCCTTTGCACATGATCTTTTCATTTCCTTGAGGTAGGGATGAGTGTGGAAATAGATATTCACAGGATTATGTGCTGCTATGAAAGATGTTTGAGCAACACAAAATGTTGGGGCACTATGAGGCACCATTTCACACTATGCACTGTAAGAGTGAAATGATGGAAAGCAGCAGAAGCATGTAAGAATCTGGGCCATGATAATCTAGCCTGGTTCTTTTGGAGGAGAAGTACCAGGAACTCATCAGTGAATACACAAAACGACAAACTCTGCCAACAGACACTCCTGTCCCATGGTGAAATGCGTGGAACCTGCCTGAGAGCTGGATCATATGAGATGACTCCTGATCAAATATTAACCTTCTGGTCACTCTGTAACAACAATCCCATGAGGGACATCCTTAAACACCAAAGATCAAATGACAGAAAAACTGGAAATGAAGAAGAGTGGGTTATATGTATGGTCCTGCTATTAACTTGCTTTGAGCTTTGAGAACACAATCACTTAATATATCTAGGCTGGAATTTCTTTAACTAAATGTAGCAAATTTCCCAATTACTTTTTGTTATGTATATGTCTCCAAAGTTCACACTGAAAGTGAAAAATTCTACCTTGGTTTCAGGTCAACATTAAGTGAAAGGAGATTTGCATACTCATAAGTATATATAAATTGTAAACAACCTGTATTTTAAAAAGTGATACAGATATTTGATAATTTGATAAAGATCTTTACATAATACTGTACTTCATCCAGTTTCAGACACCATGAATTGTAAGGCACACTATTACATGCCACTAAGAAAGTAAAAATGCTATCAGTTATAATTATGTCATCCATTATATGACACATTTGGTATCAGTGGTATTAAAATATGAACAATGTCTGTCTTGAAATACAGCATTTTATATATGAAAATACATCTGTTGGAACAGAAATGAAAACATTAGCCTTGGTAATTAAATATACTTAGAAGCATAAATAATTTGTGAAACCTCCTTTCCTCTGTTTTTTGGAGCAAAAGACCTCTTTAAAGTGTTAAAAAGTAAAGATGTCATTTTGAGAACTTAGGTGAGCCTGGCCCAAGCCATGGTATTTTCAATTGTTTCATGTGGATGGGAAAGCTGGACAATGAATAAGGAAGACTGAAGAAGAATTGATGTCTTTGAATTGTGGTGTTGGCGAATACTGAATATACCATGAACTGCCAGAAGAATGAGCAAATCTGTCTTGGAAGAAGTACAGCCAGAATACTCCTTAGAAACAAGGATGGCGAGACTACGTCTCACATACTATAGACATGTTATTAGGAGGGACCAGTCCCTGGAGGAGGACATCATGCTTGGTAAAGCAGAGGGTCAGTGAAAAAGAGGAAGACCCTCAATGAGATGGACTGACACAGTGGCTGTGACAATGGGCTCGAGTATAGCAACAGCTGTGAGGATGGACAGGACCAGGCAGTATTTCATTTTGTTGTACATGGGGTCACTATGATTCAGAACTGACTTAATGGCACCTAACAACAACCTTTCCTCTGTGAACAACAGCTAGTTATAACACACACGAAACAGCTAAATTTGGGCTACAAAGCTAGAATCCAAATCCAAATTTAAAGATAACAAAGCCCTATGACAACTGATAAATATAAATTACTTTTTTTAAAAAATAAGAATATTTTCTACTTACTAAGACTCGTATTTCTGAATAACTGTAAATTTTTTTAAAGAGTGATTCAAGTTTCTAGAAAGAAGTCTCCAAATGGAGTCACATAACTAAGTTCCAAAGAAGGTAATAATGTAATATGCAAGAGTCATACCCATGAATTGAATATACTTAAGAAACTACAGTCAAAAGATTTACATTTAATAAGAAACTGAGCTCTATCACATACTTATCACATCATCTCATAACTGAATAGATACGTAAAGGTAGTCAATAAGCAATGAAAAAGTGCTCAACATCATTAGTCATTGTTAGGTGCCATCAAATCAATTCTGACCCAGAGCAACTCCAAGTGACATAGCAGAACTGCCACACAGGGTTTTTTTGGCTGTAATCTATATGGATGCAGGTCTTTCTCCCTTGGAGTGGCTAGGTGGGTTCAAACCACCAACCTTTCTGCTGGCAGCCAAGTGCTTAACTGTCTGTACCACCAGGGCTCCTTACAGAAATAAAAATTAAAACTACAATGAGATACCAGGATATACTCACTAGAACGATTAAAATTTAAAAGACTGGCAACACCAAATGTTGGCAAAGATGTGAAGCAACTAGAACATCTATATATTGCTGCAGCTGTTGTTATATGCTGTAGAGTCAATTCCAACTCACAGCAATCCTACCGGACAGAGTAGAACTGTCCCGTAGGGTTTCCTAGGCTGAAATCTTTATGGGAGCACATCACCAGGTCTTTTCTCATGTGGAGCGGTTGGTGGGGTCAAACTGCCAACCCTTTGGTTAGCAGCCAAGCCCTTAACCATTGCGCCATCAAGGCTCCTCAAATGAAAGCATACGTCCATCAAATACCTGTGCAAAAATGTTCACAGCAGCTTTATTCATAATAGCCAAAAAGTGGAAACACCTCAAATGTCAAACAACAGGAGAATAGATAAACAAATCACAGCATATTAATACAATTGAATATTATTCAGCAATAAAATAAACTACAGATACAAGCAACATTATGAATGAATCTCACAAACATTATGCTGAGCAAAAGAAGTCCGGACACAAAAGATTGCTATATGATTCCATTTACATGAAACTAGAACAGGAAAATTAACCTATGGTAGGGAAACAAAAAAAAAAACCAGACTACTCATTGGTTCCAGGGAGGAGGGACTGACTGGGAAGAGAACTTTCTAGGATAATGGAAATAGTCTATATCTTGACAGTTGTATGCATTTGCCAAAACTTCTCATATTGTACACTTAAGATCTCTGAATTTTACTATATGTAAGTTTTACCTAAAAACCCAAAAAATAAACAAACATGGAACTCTAAGTAGTAGGTTTGCATTCTGTAATTGTATAGGTTAGCAATTATAAAACTTTCTATGTATTCCAGATTTAAGCAAATTAGTTAACACACTGAGGATAATGGGAGTCAAGTTTCATACCATTGGGGGAAATATGAAGGAAGAAGACTAGAACATACCCTGTGGTGTCAGATTTGAATAGCAGGCATCAGCATAAACTTTGTGGTTTCTATTATATATTTATATAGATAGATAAATAAATATAGATGTGTGTGCATGTGAGAGAGAGAGAACGATTATTAAAGCAAATGGGGCAAAATGTAAACAACTGGGGAGAGGATATATGGACATGCCTTGTACTATTTATGCAGCTTTTCTTAAATTTTAAATTATATTAAAAAAAATTTTTTATAATGGCATTTGTACGTTAAGTGCTCTGTGTGCCTGTCTCCTGGGTGGCGATATGGCTCCTAGTGTAAGACAGGGCTCAGAAGGAGTCCTTCCAATACTAATTCTGACACCACTTTGCCTCAAAACACCAGCCGCACCAAAAACGTTTTTTCCTTTCAAAGCAAAAACCAAAACACACAGTTAAAAAGTTGTTGAATGACTGACCTTAGAAATGTACTGGAGCCTCACCATAAAGCCGCCCTTGGGGTCTGTGCTTGAGTCTGACAGGTGCCCTCATTAAATTAAGTTCTAAGGTCTGCAGTACACATTAGGAGGCGCCCTGACTGATGTGGAAACGAGGTGTCCTCAATCACCCACCCACTCTCACAAGCGCTTATCTTTTTGGAACAGAACTAAATTAAAGACTTGAGTATACTATAGTTTCTATAATAGGTTAAACATTTATTACACGGAAGACAATATAAATTCCATCTAATAGCTATCAAGTACATTCTCTACATTTCTTGGAAGATTAATTGCCTATTTAATAGCAGAAGGACTTACCCTCACGTCTCTAATCAAACAGAGGTCTGAGCTGTGACATTTGGTGAAGAGAAGTCTGCCAAGTACAAATATTTTACTCCAGTAATTGTACACATGGGTAAAACACTTTCAGAAGGGAAGAATTCTCTTTCAAAAGCAGATGTTTCATCATTTCTTTCACTGACATTTAAGATTTGCCAACTGCCTAGAATTGAATGTACTACTTCACCATTTAAGAAGTTAAAGAATACAATAATACATGAAATTGCAGATCACTGTTCCCAGACATCTAATAAATGCTAATTAAGCGACTGTCCACCACATATCAACAAAGATACTGACATAAAATCTGGCAAATATTCAGAACTGTATTTTCAGATTTCTCTGACTACATAACACTACATTTATAATTTTATATTTCCCTCCCTTATCTTTATTGAAGAAAAGGGTCCTTTTAATACAATGTTAAATAACATAGCTCATGAAAAATCATTCCAATTCATTGAAGTGTCTGCAAAGAGCCTCAATAGGTTAAAATTAAACTGCTCCCATCCTTCACATTCAATACAGATTTCATGGGAGACTGGCATTGACCCCCACAGGCATTCAGGAGACTGGGAGGAAGGCAGAAAG